GATACTCACACATTGTTTCTGGTATTGTGTCAGGAGGGTGTTTCCATTGGAAAGGTTTTAAAGGTCACCTCCTCCCTGACCACTTGGGCTCCTGTCTCCCACTGGTTGAGGGTTGTTCCTGGAGACAGTTTTGTGCATATCTGAGTTGAATATATGTGCAGAATGCCTGCAGCTTCCATAGTGCGGGAGGATCCCTGCAGTGAAACACATGTGAAGTGCAGCCATGGCACTGTTGGGGCAAGGGGAGACAGTGAATTGCATTTTAAAATACCATCTGGTGCTCCCACTGCCTGGAACACATTACACCATCACCACCTCTCTAGCTGGCTGGCTACCTCCTGTCCAACCTTAAAATTTGGCTAAAATCTGACATTGCCTCCTAGAAACCACTAGGCTGGTCTGACCCTCATGTGTGCCCCTTGCATCCAGTGACCACTCGGCAGTGTTATTTATACTATAAGTGCCTTTTATTTGCTTGCCAAACCCCCAACCCCCACCCACACAAGGTTATAAGCCTTATTGTTGCCTTGGCAACTAGCACATTCTAGATGCCCAATAATTACTTATAGGAAGAAAGGAAGGAAAGAAAAAAATTGAAGATAAAAAATCAAAGTAGATGGTGTCTTAGTCTGCTCAGGCTGTTGTAACAAAGTGCCATAAACTGGGTGTCCTAAACGACTTATTTCTCTTAGTTCTGGAGGCTGGGAAGCCAAGATCAAGTGCCAGAGACTTGGTGTCTGGCAAGAGCCCTCTTCCTTGTTTGCAAATGGCTGCCTTCCTGCTGTGTCCTCACATTGCCAAGAGAGAGACATCTCTCTCATGTGTCTTCTCATAAGGGAACTAATTCCATTTACGAGGGCTCCACCCTCACAACCTGTTCACCTCCCCAAAGCCGCCCCTCCAAATACCATCACATTGGGGATTGGGGCTTCAACATATACGCTTCAGGGAGACACATTCAGTTTATAGGCGATGGAAAGTAAGAAAATGAATAAATAGGAAAAAGAAAAAAAGAGAAAGGTACAAATTCCAGAGAGACATGGTAAGGAAAACAAGTAAAATGTCATTCTGTGTTATGGGCTATATAATAATGGACACTTGGAGTGAGCAATGAATTAACAGTATCTACAGCTGACCCCTGAACAACATGGGTTTGAGTTGCATGGGTCCACTTGCACATGGATTTTTTTTTCAATAAATACTCTAACTGTATTTTCCTTATGATTTTCTTTTTTAAAAAATATTTTTATTGATTTCAGAGAGGAAAGGAGAGGGAGAGAGGTAGAAACATCAATAATGAAAGAGTCATTGATCGGCTGTCTCCTGCACTTCCCCTACTGGGGATCGAGCCTGCAACCTTGGCATGTGCCCTTGACCAGAATCGAACCAGGAACCTTCAGTCTGCAGGCTGATGTTCTATCCACTGAGCCAAACCAGCTAGGGCCCTTACGATGTTCTTAATAACATTTTCTTTTCTCTACCTTACCTTATCGTAGTAATATGTAATACATATTAACATACAAATATGTTAATCAATTGTTATCTGTAAGCTTTTGGGAAGAGTCAAAAATTATATGCAGAGTTTTGACTTGCAGGGTTCCTCAAGGGCCAACTGTAGAATCTAAATGCTTATTCAAAGACCAGAGACCAGGAGAAAGCTGAGGGGCTGGGCCAGCTTGTTGAGATTTTCCTGGAGGGCTGTGGTCAAGGTTTAAAATCTAGCTAGCTTAGCTCACTGCTGCTGAAGACATAATTCAATGTCTTTTATGATGCACTTGTATATGTCAGGTCCTGTGCTCTCTCCACTACAGAAACTTAAAGTCTACTCAGAGACAGAAACATGTTGATTCCCATAGAGTGGGTGAACTAACTCACCCAATAATTACCACTATACTAGGTGCATAAACTTGTCTTGCTGAGTCCACTGAGGAGTGAGCACTGCAAGGATGGGTTAACAGGTTCAGAGATGTTTGGTAACTGCTCATTGTTCACATTAAGTCCTGACATGGACACTCTAACCTAACTTCTATGTCCTTTTCCCCCACTAGTCACTTAACCTGCTTTTCACATTCATCCTTTTGTTCTTTCATGCAACACAAAGGAATAACTCATATGGGCCAGGTATGAGCAATACTACTACCCCAGGGAAGACCATGGTCACAGTCCCTGGCCCCTGGAGAGCTGAATTATTTGTGGGAAAGACATTAAACAGGTAATGTAAGGCGTGTGAAATGTTACGAAGGGGGACACGTGGGTACTGACCTGGGCAAGCATGCAGGGTGACCTGTCTGAAGAAGTGAACACACCATTAGGAGTTAGCAAAGGAAAGTTGGAGCTTTGGGGAAGAAAAAGTAAGCTGGGCAGATGGAACAATATATGCAGAGATGGAGAGAAGGTACAATCAAGGATCTGGGCAAGCAGGTCAGTGGGGGCAAAATAACAAAAAGCCTTGTATACACACATCTGAGACTTCATCCTGAAGCAACTAGAAGTCAGTCAACTTCTGATCACAAAATTCCTTCCCCACAGCAAAAAGGAAAGTCCGACTTCAATTTCACACCCACCAAACACCTAGAGGATAACTGGTTCCAATTAAACTCCCCTGGTCTGCAGTAGCAGATGTAGGATACTATGGGGTTGGATCCTACAGGAAACTGAGTAAAGTGCTGCTGTCCTCAAAACTCCCAATTACCAAGCCCTGCTGCCCCAACATTACTATGAAATTGTCCCCAGAAGGGAATGTCGAGAGCACGGGAAGAGCAGGTCCAGCCTGGCTCCTGGGCTAACATCTGAATTAGTGAAGTTAGTCAGACCACATCATTGCCAGTTATAATGTATACCACTTGTCCTTCCTCTGCTTCAAGGTGTCTCCTCCCTTCCTCCAGCTCTCAGGCGGCCTCTGCAGGGCACACTCCATCCTTCCCCTTCCCCCTCTGTAGCTGGCTGCATCCCACAATGAATCAGAACATCCTTACTAGGTGTACCGGTTAATAATGCAGATTATTTTCAATAGATGGAGTTACACATGTTGATATATATGCGATTTGATATGTATGCTATTTTGTTGTATTGACAGCAAGCTTCAAAACTTCATGTGTCAAAATTTCTGATTGTGTTAACATCATAGATATTTTTAAGCTTAAAAATGTCAAATTTCATGCCAAAAAAAAGAGAGCATTGGCGGGAAGTTTTAATTCATTACTTTATTTTGAAGAAAAGTGCTGCTGAAAGTTATCGTATACTTCGGGAAGCGTATGGTGTACATGCTCCATCTCAATATACTTGTGAACTCTGGTTTAAACGCTTTAAAAGTAATAATTTCGATGTGAAAGACAAAGAACGTCCAGGTCAACCGAAAAAGTTTGAAGACCAACATTTACAAGCATTATTAGGTGAAGATGCGTGTCAAACTCAAAAACAACTTGCAGAAAGATTAAATATTGCTCAGCAAACAATTTCTGATCGTTTACAAGCAATGGGAAAGATTTTAAAGAAAGAAAAGGGGTGCCGCCGAAACCGGTTTGGCTCAGTGGATAGAGCGTCGGCCTGCAGACTGAAAGGTCCCGGGTTCGATTCCGGTCAAGGGCATGTACCTGGGTTGCAGGCACATCCCCAGTAGGAGATGTGCAGGAGGCAGCTGGTCGATGTTTCTCTCTCATCGATGTTTCTATCTCTCTCCCTTCCTCTCTGTAAAAAAATCAATAAAATATATTTTAAAAAAAAAAGAAAAGAAAAGGGGTGCCACATCAACTGAACAAAAGACAAATGGAAAACTGAGAAGTCCTCAGTAAAATGTTGCTTCAACAGCAGGAAAGAAAGTCTTTTTTGCATCGAATTGTGACTGGCGATGACAAGTGGATTTGAGAATCCCACACACACAAAATCATGGGTTGATCCAGGTCCACCAACAACATCGACTGCAAGGCCAAATCGCTTCAGAAAGAAGACAATGCTCTGCGTTTGATGGGATCAGGAAGGTGTGGTGTATTATGAGCTTCTAAAACCAGGTGAAACCGTTAATACTGATCATTACCGACAACAAATAATCAATCTGAACCATGCTGTGATCGTAAAACAACCAGAATGGGCCAGAAGACACGGTAAAGTAAGTTTGCTTCATGATAACGCACCATCACACTCTTCAAAACCAGTTAAAGACACACTAAAAGATCTTGCCTGGGAAGTATTAACCCACACGCTGTATTCACCAGACCTCGCACCTTCAGATTACATTCTGATAGATGGCACACGCACTTTCTGAGCAGCACTTCAAAACGTACTAAGTGGTGAAAAATTTGGTCTCTGAATGGTCTGCCTTAAAACAAGAAAAGTTCTATTGGGACGGTATCCACAAATTACATGAAAGATGGGGGAAATGTGTAGCTAGCAATGGACATCACTTTGAACAGAGCACTTTTGATGTTTCTCTTGAAATTATTGTGGATACCGTCCCAATAGAACTTTTCTTGTCTTGAGGCAGACCATTCAGAGACCCAATTTTTCACCACTTCGTACGTTTTGAAGTGCTGCTCAGAAAGTGCGTGGGCCATTGATCGAAACAAGTGGTAATCTGAAGGAGCAATACAACAAAATAGCATATATATCAAATTGCATATATATCAACATATGTGTAACTCCATCTATTGAAAAAATCCGCATTATTAACCGGTACACCTAGTAAATTTCACGAGTCAAGAAGAATGGAAACTGCTTTCAAAATTCTTATGCCAGGTACTAGCGATAACTTCATAAGTTATAGAAATGTCTACTCACTATTATATAGCTGAAATTAATATGTCAACTGTAATTAAAAAATATTTAAAAATTATTTTAAAATTCTCATACTAGGGAGGCAGTGTTCTGGGAGGAGTATAAGAAAAGCCTCTACAGTTAAGTAAAACTACTAAATAAAGTGGCTACCTAGTGAAATGGGCAAGAAAGCCTTGGGAGCATATTAGGACAACAGAAAAGAATGGAGACATATGGAAAACACAAATCACTGATAGTAAAATAATTTTATTTAGTTTCTTTTTTTTAAAAAAGGTAGCATTTCACATATAAATTTAGACTCAAGATTACAGTATATATTTGCCAAAAGGAACATCCCTGAAGGAGGGCTAGACCTAGTGCCTGAGTGAGCACAGGGAAGCACAGTTCAAGTGGAAGTACTTTCTTTAAAACTTCACCATGTGATTTCCCTGCCCCTCAACTCTGCACCAGGGCTTGTGGCTTGTAAGATAACCCACATCCATCACTTTGGGGCAGCAACTTTTAGCTCATGGGAATAGAAAACATCTCTAGTAATGAAAGCACAAAAACCAATGATCCAAGTTTCCCACAACAATCATTATCTGCAGCAACAATATATGACAGGAGAAGTTTATTTTTAGTTCAAAAGTTCTTTTGAGGGCTAGAGAACACAAAATTCACTCAAAAAGAGAACGCATACAATTAATGAGCAAAAATGAAAAAAAAAATGATTCTCTCCATATTACAAATGCTTTTATAGGATAAGGCCCAAGGAAAAGACCCACTCAAATCTGGGATTCCATTCCCATAAAGTGTTTGGCACAACTCACAACTGTCATGAGACTGAGAGTCAGCTGAGAGGTTGCTGGAAGGATCCCAGGACTTTTCTGTCTGGCTTGAACAAAGTCTACACAAAAGGTCTTAACAAGCTGCACATACTCAGGCCTAACTATGGGGCACACTTTTTTAAGAAAGTTAATCTTTAAGGAAAAAAATGTCCAGGTGAAATAGGTCTCTCATAGCCACAGATTAATCTGTCATCCTCTCATGGAAGATTAAATCCACTGGCTGCCCAGAAGTCAGTGGAATCCTAATCTCCTAGGGAAGGTGAAGCTGGAGAACAACTTTGATTTCAGCATCTCAGGGCCAATAGGGAAGGAGACAAAAATGACCAAGTTACTCTTTGTTCCACACCATGTAGGCTCCTGATGAACAATATTGAGAAGGAGAATTCGTGTGCTAGTAACCATGGCAGCCTAGAATAGAGCCTTTAGGCAGAGGTACTAGGGCAAATGAATGTACCCCAAATCCAGTTAAAAAACTTCCTGCAGTTATGATACAATACTGTGCAGTGAATAGCTAGGAATTGTATGCTGCTCCTATTTCTGGTAAAGCCCTGTCTTGCTCTTGGCCAGCCAGAGCTGAGAGGTGACTTATAAGGAGTTGTCTGTGACAAGAAACCAAGTACCTTAGTCACACACAGCCTGAGGCAGTGACACAGACAGTCATCACCCAATGGAGGAGAATTCAGGTCCCCAGAACTTTGATTCAAAGCCAAGGTTTCATCTCATCCAAAACTTCAAACCAAGCTCTATCTCTGAGCCTACTAATGCAATAAACTAGTGATTAGGAATCTCTACAAGGAATCTGGTTGAGTGGCAAGGTGCATGTCCCAGCAAGCCACCAACTTGACTGTAGGAAAACAAAAATGTGCACATTGTATCAAGTAAATGGTTGCTCAACTGGAAGATCATTTCCTGGGGAACTTCAGCAGACTAGATGCTAATCACATGGATGTACACTGCAGACCCTAAAGAGAGCCCGGTCCCAGGTGTAGTGAGTCTTCTTTACACTTACCACATCCTGGCCATCTTCTCTCTGGCCTTCTATCTCTTGAATGGCTGAGCACACACTTCCCCTGGGACCAATGTAAACATTATTCAATAGATCTCAGCTTAGGAAAACACAGCTTGTTATGTATTTTGTGTTTAACATTCCAGTGCAGGCAGTATCTTAGCATTAGACTTTCCTTCTTTCATGAGTACCAATTTAGCAAGGATCACACACAGCATACTTGATAAAACTGTGGTTGAAAAGACCATTTGGGTGCCAGACAGCTGGCTCTATCCTGGAATCAGCTGGTAAGCCAGGACTACCACAGGAGAGGCAGAACACACGAGCACAGGGAGTCGCGTAACCATTATTCCCATTGAACCCCTTGGGCCACATCTTGATATGGGAGAACATTTCCACCTCTTGCATCAACCTATGCTCTCCTTCTTTTGGACAGGGCTCTCTCCAGAGGGTTCAGCAGCATCCTTAGAGAGGAGAGGAGAGCTTTTCCTTCCAGTCCTAACATCTGAATATTTCACAGCACAAGAGGCGTCCACGAACATGCTCGGAATGTTGCTGCCAAAGTAGATCTTACTGTTAGAAGCAATGGCCTGGTACCTCCTGAGCTCCAGATACTCCGGGGTCAATTTGTGCTGTGTGGGGGCAAACAGGAGCAGAGGCATCAGGACACTTTGGTGCAATATTCATCCCTCTATTTCCTTACACACATTTCCCTATTGCTCTACTGATAAAATTACTCAAATCTGAATTGTTGCCAATGACCCTCTCTCACTTTGAAGTGTGGCTATCACATTAGTAGCTATATTCCAGACTTGAAGTTCCTTCAACAAGCTGTTATAATGTAGGAGAAGCTGTTTATTTTTTAATTAAAAAAAAAAAGTTGGGGGTGGTTTTGAGGATCAATGAATGTAACTCACTAAGTAATGATGATAACATTTCCACAGTGACTTGTGGCTGATGAAGTACTTCCATACGTACTTTCACATTTCATCCAGCTGAATCAACCTGGGGTCAGTTTGGAGTTTCTCCTGATATATGAACAGGTCAACGGATGGGAGTGGCAGAGCTTCAAAGGAAGGGCCTGGGCTCAGAACCTTAAAATCAACCACCTTTGATTCTGCTTTTCTTGATCACATTCCAGAACTAGAAAATATCTCAAGAAATCACCTGGTCTGGCCTCTTGCCTCTACCAGAAACTGGATGTTTAATCTGCTTGTGATGGACAGGTGTTTGTCAATCATCAGGTTTCTCTCCGTCACAGTCTTGTTTAAATCGTGATCCTAAGATATATCCAATCACAATCTCTCTGGGTTTGATTAAAACGTATTCATTTCCAATGATCCTTAAAATATACTCTAAAGCCTCTCAGAGCCTCCCCTAGGGATTTTCTCTTCATCTCAAGTCCCAGCCTGTCCTCCAGGCAAAGCCCATCTTGTTCTTCACAGCCCTCTGACATCTTCCACTCCTGCACCTACACCTTCTCCAGCTGACTCACATCCCTGCTGAAACACTGCCATCCAATCTGCTCACCGTGTGTAAACAATTTACTTTCTAAAGTCTTATTATTATAGGTCAATATCTGAATAGCATTTTTCATTTTCAAAGTGACATAAAACTACTTGCTGCCCTTTAGGCATAGGCTGACTTCATGACAAGATCTGGATATTTGTGCCTGGTCAGCCTCTCCCATGACAGATTTGAAATGTTAGTTTTGTAAACTCAAGTTTCTCATCTCGTCTTCATCTTGACCAAACTCCATTCTGTTTCTATAGAGCTGTGTCCTCCAATATGTTAAGTGTATTTCTAAATTCATACTGAATTTCAAGTCTTATCATTCCTTCTGAATACAGATTATTTGGTTATTTTCTAAATCAAAGGATTTTAAGCTCTGTCTCTACCTTCAATCTTTACTCTAATCCTGGAAACTGTATCCTATACCTTAGCAAGCTCTGTCTCCATTCTTTCTGTCCAATCTATTCTACAACTAATAACCTTATAAACCTTGGATAGATCCTTCCCTTCTCAGAAAGCCATAGGGGTTCTAGCTGCCTCTTAATTAAATGATTCCTGCTAACTAGGCCTATAGTCTCTAGACCTAAACTTACGCCAGTCCCTAAACAAAAATTGGTCACCCATACATCACCCAACCTCCTTTCTCAAGTTATTACACATAAAATGCCTCATGACGAAAACATTTAAAAAGCCCAGTAAACAAGCAATACTCAGTTGGTAGCATTTGGAAACACGTGTGTGTGTGGGGGGAGGGGTGATGACTATTAAAATAATTGGCAAACACTACTGACATTTAGTAGGCAAGGGCCTGGGGTGCAAAATATCCCATAATGCATGAGATGATCTTTAACAATTAAGAAGCATCTCACTCCAAAATGCCAAGAATGTCTCTGATGAGAAACACTGCTATAAACGAGCTTACTCAAAAAACCTACCTTCTCTGGGAAGCAATTCTAAATAAACTTTACTCTTCTGTTCTTTTTGTCATTTCAGAAGCCCCTCAATTTTCTTGATTACTGAATTCTTATATAGCAGGACAAATGAATGGCTATATGGCAAGCATGTCAAACTCAAAGGCTAACATGGGCCAAATAAACAAGGTTTAAGTTTATGTGGGCCGCAAAACACAAAACCTTCAATTTTCATAGAAACATAGGTTTATTTCGATAGAGACATACTGAATACAGAGGGATGAAATAAATGAGTAATCGTTAACATAAAAGAATAGAACATTTTAATAAAAATTGTATTTTTTCTTGGACATTAACTTACCAGACACTGAATATCTGCACAATTAAAAAGTGTAACGCAAATTTCTATTTTTCTTATTCTCTGAAAGCGAACTATTTCCTGTTGTGCACACCAAACAAGTGACTACAAGACTAATGACATGCAATCGGCTGCTAAAATATTCGCTGCTAGTATTAGTGGAGAGAAATGGTGCGCCTGTGCTTAAGGCATGTAAGGGAAATGAATGTAACATGATTATAGTAATCAGTCAATAGCGAATGTAGTAGTTCGTTATTAATAATTATATAACAGGATATTGTAAAAATTAAGTCATGAAATTTTTATTAAATCGTTTCTTGCATACCGTTATATTAGCTGGGCTGCAAAAATATTCGTTGTGGGCCGCATGTGGTCCATGGGCCGTGAGTTTGACGTGCCTGCTATATGGCATGTATTTTCATATATCTGCTTGCCTTTGTCAGAGCTCCCCATTTTTATACACAAATATACAAAATTCCCTATCCAATAAGTGTGCAATATATCTTGCCAAGTGATTGGCTGATTCTAGAGGGTGTGACAGTAACTACCCTTTCTTGACACTGGATAAAATCTCCTTTATCACAGTAGAGCCCCCACAAGAGAAACTAAACCCCAAACTGTATTACTAGGAGAGTGGCACAGAGAGCCAGTCACCTTGTTCGACGTGGCATATTTATGTGCAGCATAATATTCAGCATCTGCTTTTGCCTTCTCTCGGGCCAGGAACGCGGCATCTAGCAAAACAACACAGGGTATTTAAAACAAAGGAAACTTGTGATCTATTTCCTCAGCTGGGTAACAAGTTCAGACTCTACTTTAGGTAATAGTCCCTTTCTCCACTGCCTGATATTTTGATCACTTCTTTACTTTAAAAGCATATACCAGTAACAACTCTAGCAGTTTTAAAATCCCAGTCCTCAGAGAGCTTCTGAGGACTTCAATGGGAATACTCTTGTCAATGTTGAACAACTCCCAGCTCAGCTGAGCCCACTTCAGTTTCCACCTAAAAGTGCTCTTTCTTTCCTCCACCCCCATCACCCAAAGCATCACACCCCACCCCACTCTCAGCTTCAAGTGAAATAACTAAATCCAGACACAAAAGCTCTGCTCTATTTACTGAATCACCCCCCCCACCCCCCGCATTTGATCTAAACAATAGAAAGCTGCAGTATATAAGCAGAAGAGGTTGAATGTGTGGTCTTCAAGACTATAAGCTAAGAACATCTCACTGTGAAATCAAGGAGTTTGAGAGCTCTTTGAAAACCGTGGCTTCTTTTTTCCCAGCTAATTTTTATGGTATGTTTTTTTTCGTTGACAGGTAGGAAAGAAACTGGTTGTGTTGGGGTTTCTCATCTTATACATTCTTTACAACTGATTATGGGTAATTATCATACTGTCTGAGAACAAAGTAGGAGCTAATAAGCCCTATTTTAAGTCGGAAAAGGAAAGGCTGAGTTAGCCAAAGTCACAAACCAAACCAAGAGCTAGATATGTAATGGCAATTTTAAAAAAATTATCTAGAATATCAAGTCAGCTACTTCCTTCAGACTATTCTGTCTATGGCCTTCCTACCCACCATAGAGCCCAACCCCTGGGCAGAGAGGCAGATTAGGATAGTCAGAGCCTCTTTTTTCCTGATGTACCTTCAATTTCAGAAATGCATTTTTCAGTTTCTTTCTCCATCACCTTCTGCTGAAACCAAATTTTTGCCACTTGTGCAATCTTCTCTGCCTCTATAATTATACAAAAGAAGACACACGTATTAATTGATTGAATAGTGACTAGGCCTGGAATTTTCACATTAAACCCTGAAACAGACTGCTTCAATTTCTTCCATGAGATTTTTAGATTTTTCCTGATTGAGTTTTGGAATGTTGTATTTTTCTAGGAATATGTCCATTTCCTCCAGGTTGTCTAGTTTGTTGGAGTAGAGTTGTCCATAGTATTTTTAAACAATCATTTGTATTTCTGTGGGGTCTGTTGTTATTTCGCCTCTATCATTTCTGATTTTGTCTATTTGGGTCCTCTCTCTTTGCTTCTTGGTGAGCCTGGCTAGAGGTTCATCAATCTTGTTTATCCTTTCAAAGAACCAGCTCTTGGTTTCATTGATTTTATGTATTGTTTTTTTGGTCTTTATGTCATTTATTTCTGCTCTAATCTTTAGTATCTCCTTCCTTCTGCTCACTCTGGGCTTTTCTTGTTGCTCTCTTTCTAATTCTTTGAGATGTAGAGTTAGATGATTTACTACCATTTTTTCTTGTTGTTGTTTTTTTTTTTTTGAGATAGGCCTGTAGACCTATAAACTTCCCTCTCAGGACTGCTTTCATTGTGTCCCATAGGTTTTGGATTGTTGTGTTTTCATTGTCATTAGTTTCCAGGATGTTTTTAATTTCTTCTTTGATCTCATTGGTAACCCAATCAATATTTAATAACATGCTATTCAGCTTCCAAGTGTTTGAGTATTTTTGGTTGTTTTTATTGTAGTTTATTTCTAATATTATGTCATTGTGGTCTGAGAACACTTGGAGTGCGGGAAACGAGTTAAGTCGGCTCGCGTGAATTGCGCGTACTCCGCGGGAGCCGTCTTTAACTCGGTTCATATAGATTTGCGGTGGAGTGCGGGAAACGTGTAAACTCGGGCCGATTGTAACTGCGTATTACCAAATATTTGTTTGTAATCCACCCTTTTGGTGGATGGAACAAAACCAAAAGACAGAGCCATCTTATATTTTGGCGGGAAATTCACCCGCACTCCAAGTGAGAAGATGCTTGGTATGATTCAATCTTCTTAAATTTGGGGAGACTTTGTTTGTGACCCAATATGTGGTCTATTTTTGAAAAAGTCCCATGAGCACTTGAGAAGAATGTATATTCCGTGGCTTTGGGGTGAAATGATCTGAAGATGTCAATTAACTCCATCTGATCTAGTGAGTCATTTAGGATTGCTGTTTCTTTGCTGATTTTTTTAAAAATATATTTTTATTGATTTTTCACAGAGAGGAAGGGAGAGGAATAGAGAGTTAGAAACATCGATGAGAGAGAAACATCGATCAGCTGCCTCCTGCTCACTCCCCACTGGGTATGTGCCCGCAACCAAGGTACATGCCCTTGGCCGGAATCGAACCCAGGAGCCCTGAGTCCGCAGGCCAACTCTCTATTCACTGAGCCAAACCGGTCAGGGCTGATTTTTTATCTAGAGGATTTATCCAGTGGTGTCAGTGGTGTATTAAAGTCCCCTACTATGATTGTATTGTTGTCGATCTCTCTTTTGATATCTTCCAGGAGTTTGTTTTTTTTTATGTATTTGGGTGCTCCTGCATTGGGTGCATATATGTTTATCAGGGTTATATCTTCTTGTTGTATTGATCCCTTTAGTATTATGAAGGGGCCTTCCTTATCTCTTGTTATGGCCTTCACTTTGAGGTCTATTTTGTCAGATATAAGTATTGCTACCCCAGCTTTTTTTTTCATTTCCATTTGCCTGAAAGATATTTTTCAAACCCTTCACTCTCAGTCTGTGTGAGTCCCTTCTTCTGAGGTGGGTCTCTTATAGACAGCAAATATATGGGTCATGTTTTTTTATCCATTCAGCCACTTGATGTCTTTTGATTGGAGCATTTAGTCCATTTACATTTAAAGTTATTATTGAAAGGTACTTGTTTGTAGCCATTTCTATTTTTTGTGCCTGTTTTCTTTCTTAGCTTTTTCTTTTTTCTTTTTACACCAGTCCCTTTAGCATTTCTTGTATTGCCGGCTTGGTGGTGATAAACTCCCTTAGCCTTTTTTTGTCTGTGAAGCTTCTTATTTCCCCTTCAATTTTGAATGATAGCCTTGCTGGATAGAGTATTCTTGGATTCAGTCCTTTGCTTTGCATCACTTTGTAAATTTCCATCCATTCTTTTCTGGCCTGATGTGTTTCTGTTGAGAAATCATTTGATAATCTAATGGGAGATCCCTTGTATGTAACTTTCCGTCTCTCTCTTGCAGCATGTAAGATTCTCTCTTTGTCCTGAACATTTCCCATGGTAATTATGATGTGTCTTGGTGTGGGTCTTTTCAGGTTCACCTTGTTTGGGACTCTCTGTGCTTGTGTGACTTTTTTCTTCCCCACCTCAGGGAAGTTTTCTGATATTATTTCTTCCAATAGGTTTTCTAACCCTTGTTCCTCTAACCCTTGTTCCTCTTTTCAGGTTCACCTTGTTTGGGACTCTCTGTGCTTGTGTGACTTTTTTCTTCCCCACCTCAGGGAAGTTTTCTGATATTATTTCTTCCAATAGGTTTTCTAACCCTTGTTCCTCTTTCTGTTGTGCTGGCACCCCTATTATTCGTATGTTGTTTCGTTTCATGTTGTCCCATAGCTCCCTTAGGCTCTCCTCCTGTCTTTTAATTTTTTTCTCCAATTGCAGTTCAGTTTGGGTGTGTTTTGCTTCCCTGACTTCTAATTCACTAATTCGGTCCTCCGCTTCTCCTAGTCTACTGTTGAAACTTTCAATGGTGTTTTTTATTGCAGCGATATCACTCTTCATTTCTTCTTGGTTCTTACCTAAGTTATTGATTTTTTCATCCTTTTCTTTTTGAATCTTATATAAGTTGTGGATTTTTTTCATCTGTTTCTTCTTGATTCTTGCATAAGTTGTTGATTTTTTCCTCCATCCGGTTTATGCACTCTAGGACCCTTAATCTGAATTCTTTTTTTGTCATGTTGCATGCCTCTGTATCACTTAGCTGCTTTTCTGGCGAGTCCTCCTTTTCTTTCCTTTGGGGGTTTCTTTGTCTACCCATGTTTGATCTCACCGACATATCTAGATGTTGAGTCGTTCAGTGGCGGCTCCCTGGGTGGCAGTGGCTCCTCGGGTTGCGGTTGCTCCTTGGGCAGTTGTGGTAGCAGCTGCTCCTCAGTTGGCAGCAGCTCTTCTGGTGGGTGCTGTTCACAGCTGTGGTGGCTCCTCTGGCTGGTGGGGGGAGGCTTCACACACAGCTACTGTTCCTCAGACAGTGGGTGTGGTGATCACGAGGCTGCTGTTCCTTGGATGGGGGCGGGCTACACACCCAAACATACTCTTATGTGTTAGAAACTAATAGAGAAGATATATAGGAAAGAGGAGCCTGAGCAAGCTTCTTGGACTTGGTCTATAAGAGCCCTGAGAACTGGAAATTTAAGGAGGGTTTTCATCCCAAATGACCATAAATATGAAGCTGAATGCAAGTTCACTAAAAATTCAGAGCTAGAACTGACCACTCTGAATATATTATAACTTTTTGTACTGGATTATGTTAAGTAAGGTCTTTGAGACTTAATATTTGACATCATTAAAATCAAAGATATTTTGTTCTAAACCTGTCTTGCTGTGATTGCAAATTTGTAGAAATACTTACTATTTACCAGATAGGACCTATGCATAATTTTCAATTCATCTCACCTGTCTTTCTCTTCCATCTCAACGTCAGCCTCAATCTAGCCTGAGTTTCCCCACACTCCATAGGAAGCTCTAGATTGAATTGTTCACTCCCAATAAGTAGGCCGATTCCCTCTAGTTACAGTCAGGCCTGGTGCTGGGATCTTCCCTTTCCCTCACTGGCCTGTCCCACTTCCATACTGATGTTCCAGATGGCCTTGAGCTGGGATGCTTGAACCTGAATTTTGACTGCTGTGTGCCCTGAGGCAGGGTTTCAAAGATGCCCATTAGCCATAGAGTACTTACTCGTTGTTATGCTTCTACTTGTCAGGACAATTGTGTTAATTATTAATGATTTTGTGCTTGTGCATACGTACTTTTTGAAAAGACAACTTTATTGAGATATGATTTACATCCTATAAAATTCACCTGTTTAAGGATACAGTTCCGTAGTTTTTAGAATATGCAGAGTTGTGCAATCATCACGACAGCCTAATTTCAGAATACTTTCATCACCCCCAAGAAAATCCTGTGCTCATTTGTAGTCACTTTCTAGCCCTAAGCAACCACTAATACACTTTCTGTCTCTGTGGATTTCCCTATTCTGAATATTCCATATAAAGGAATCATACGATACGTATGTGGTCTTTTCTATCTGGCTTCTTCCACCGTTTATAGAATATATATCCTTCCCTGTTGAGGCTGAATAATATTCCATTGTACATATATGTATAGTCACATTTTGCTTACCCATTCATCTGTCAATGGATATTTGGGTTGTTTCTACATTTTGGCTCCTGTAAATTATGCTCGTAGGAACACTGGTGTCAAATGTCAGGTCAAGTCCCTGCTTTCAGTTCTTTGGGGTACTTACCCTGAAGCTCAGCTCTACTTTTAAAGCTCCTTTCCCTCCCAGGGTCCCTGGAGGTGGGGCTGCCTGCTGGTTTTTGAACCATCCTTTTGTGGCAGCTGCTGCTCACAGCTGGGCCACTGCTGGCGTAGTTGCAGCTATTTTCTGGGTCACTGTTCTCTTGGGAATGCTCAGTCTTCCCTTGCAGCTCCTCTTGCTTTTCAACCTCCAAATCCACCTCTCACCTCTTTCTGAATAAGATGTGGCTATGCATAGTTTGACATCTTATGTAAGAAGGATCTTTGAGCCTGGCCAGTGTTGTTCAGTGGTTAAGTGTCGACCTATGAACCAAGAGATCACAGTTTGATTGCTAGTCAGGGCACATATCTGGATTGTAGGCTCGATCCCCAGTAGGGGGCATGCAGGAGGCAGCCAATCAATGATTCTCTCTCGTCATTGATGTTTCTATCTCTATCTCCCTCTCCCTTCCTCTCTGAAATCAATACAAATATTTCTAAAAAAACAAAAGAAGCCTCTTTGAGCCCCATGCACATGAATAGTTGCAAATAGATGAGGGTGGGGCAGGGAGAGATTTGTGATAGGTTATTGTTTAATTTCATCTACGTATTTATCTTAACATAACTGTAGAGAGCCATAACTCGTGGAAAGAAATGCTTGAGACTTGAAATAAAGTCAAACATACAAAGAAAATCTATTGTGGAAGTAAGGATTTATTTTGTGAATGTGGTACAAATCCTATACATGCTTCCAATTGGAAATAGAAATCGCACACATAGGCTATTATAGTAACGTCCCTGTTTTGAAAAACAGCAGAAAATCGGCATATGTGCGAAGCCACAGAAAGAGTGAAGGCTCTACTATATTGCTAATTATCCCCGACAAAAGCCGTGTGTGGGCCTGGTCTTGGCTCTGCTGAAGCGTGGTTGCCCTTGGAGTTGCCAGGACCCAGCTCCTTTTTGTCAAGGGATTTGCAGATTTAAACAAATGTCCGTCAAGTTTTTAGTGAGAGAAAAAAAAACAATTTTTAGTGAGTAGTGTTTCTGTCCTACACAGTATTTAAAATGAAGAGCTAGACTATTGGGGAGTAAGAGGAAAAGCAATTACTTTGAATCAAATTGTTAAAGGAGGAAAGTCCTTTCATCTAGGAAGAAGGCGCAGCTTGAAAGGCGGGGGAACGTTGAGAATCCCAGTAACAAGGGGTTTGGTCTCTAGTTCCCTGGGCTCCACCAGGGGCTTCAGGGAAAAGTTTTGCAGAATGGTGGTGAGGAAGAGGAACAGCTCCACGCGGGCCAGGCCCTCGCCAACACAGGCCCGTTTCCCTGGAAGGAGGAAACATTCCCATTAGTTCGCTCCAAGTTCAAATACAATAAATAGCTCATATTCAAATTCAATATGCCGAATAAGACAACCAATACAATATGCCCCTAAGAGCCATGGAAAACACTGATCAGAAAAGGGTATTTTATCAACTGCCAGAAACCAATTATTTGTCACTATATATCAAAACTCTCTCAAGAAATGTTCGCTCTTTAATTGGGTTGTTCTCCTGGGTATTTAGCCATAGGAAAGAGAGATGCATCTATTAGAATGTCACTTGCATTGTTATTTATGATATTGATGAGTCAGATGAAAACTGTATATCCATCTATAACGAACTAATGGAATAAATTCTTCTGCATTTCACACAATGAAACCTAAATATGTTAATGTGGAAGATTATTTAACACCACAGTCTGTCTTTTATCACAACAAACTAAGTGAAAATAAATGATCAAAGATTGTACAGAATGAACCAAATTTTATTTTTATTTATTTATTTTTTTAATTAAATCTTTATTGTTCAGATTATTACAGGTGTTCCTCTTTTTTCCCCCCCATAGCTCTCTTCCACCCAGTTCCCACCCCACATTCTGCCCTTACCCCTCCCACTGTCCTCATCCATAGAGGTACCAATTTTTGTCCAGTCTCTTCCTGCACCCCCACACCCCTTTTGCCCCAAGAATTGTCAGTCCACTCCCTTTCCATGCCCCTGGTTCTATTATATTCTCCAGTTTACTCTGTTCATCAGATTTTTTATTCACTTGATTTTTAGGTTCACTTGTTGATAGATGTGTATTTGTTGTTCATAATTTTTATCTTTACCTTTTTCTTCTTCTTCTTCTTAAAGAATACCTTTCAGCATTTCATATAATACTGGTTTGGTGGTGATGAACTCCTTTAGCTTTTTCTTATCTGTGAAGCTCTTTAACTGACCTTCAATTCTGAATGATAGCTTTGCTGGATAAAGTAATCTTGGTTGTAGGTTCTTGGCATTCATCACTTTGAATATTTCTTGCCACTCTCTTCTGGCCTGCATAGTTTCTGTTGAGAAATCAGCTGACAGTCGTATGGGTACTCCCTTGTAGGTAACTGACTTTTTTTCTTTTGCTGCTTTTAAGATTCTCTCTTTGTCTTTTGCTCTTGGCATTTTAATTATGATGTGTCTTGGTGTGGTCCTCTGTGGATTCCTTTTGTTTGGGGTTCTCTGTGCTTCCTGGACTTGGAATTCTATTTCTTTCACCAGGTAGGGGAAGTTTTCTGTCATTATTTCTTCAAATAGGTTTTCAATATCTTGCTTTCTCTCTTCTTCTGGCACCCCTATAATTCTTTTTTTTAATTAAATCTTTATTGTTCAGATTATTACATTTGTTCGTCTTTTTCCCCCCATAACTCCCCTCCTCCCAGTTCCCGCCCCACCCTCCGCCCTCACTCCCCACCCACTGTCCTCATCCATAGGGGTACCGATTTTTGTCCAGTCTCTTCCCGCATCCCCCACACCCCTTCCCCCCCCCCCCAAGAATAGTCAGTCCATTCCCTTTCTATGTCCCTGATTCTATTATAATCACCAGTTCATTCTGTACATCAGATTATTTATTCACTTGATTCTTAGATTCACTTGCTGATAGATGCATATTTGTTTTTCATAATTTGTATCTTTACCTTTTTCTTCTTCTTCCTCTTCTTAAGGATACCTTTCAGCATTTCATATAATACTGGTTTGGTGGTGATGAACTCCTTTAGCTTTTCCTTATCTGTGAAGCTCTTTATCTGACCTTCAATTCTGAATGATAGCTTTGCTGGATAAAGTAATCTTGGTTGTAGGTTCTTGCTATTCATCACTTTAATATTTCTTGCCACTCCCTTCTGGCTTGCAAAGTTTCTGTTGAGAAATCAGCTGACAGTCATATGGGTATTCCCTTGTAGGTAACTGACTATCTTTCTCTTGCTGCTTTTAAGATTCTCTCTTTGTCTTTTGCTCTTGGCATTTTAATTATGATGTGTCTTGGTGTGGTCCTCTTTGGATTCCTTTTGTTTGGGGTTCTCTGCGCTTCCTGGACCTGTAAGTCTATTTCTTTCACCAGGTAGGGGCAGTTTTCTGTCATTATTTCTTCAAATAGGTTTTCAATATCTTGCTCTCTCTCATCTTCTGGCACCCCTATAATTCGGATGTTGGTATGCTTGAAGCTGTCCCAGAGGCTCCTTACACTATCTTCGTATTTTTGGATTCTTTTTTCATTTTGCTTTTCCGGTTGGGTGTTTTTGCTTCTTCACAATTCAAATCTTTGACTTGATTCTTGCAATCCTCTAGTCTGCTGTTGGGTGTCTGTATAATATTCTTTATTTCAGTCAGTGTATGCTTAATTTCTAGTTGGTTCTTTATCACAACATCGAGGGTCTCATTAGATTTCTTGTAGATCTCATTAAGCTTATCGGCAGTTTCTAGAAAATTATTGAAAGATCTTAAAAGTGTGGTTTTGAGCTCTATATCCTCCATTTCTATCATGTTTCTTTGTCTCCGCATTTTTTTATGCTTTCTTGGTGCACCCCCTTGTGGTCTTTGTGCGCAGTCTTGTTGTAGGTAAGCCTTGATTGTTGTCGGTAATACTGGGGGTGATTTGACCTCCAGGCTAACTGGCTATGAGAATCAGCTGTGTCTGCAGTGGAAGAACTTCCGTGCTGGATCTCTAGGGCAGTGCTAATCTAGCGTTTGCCTAAGGCTATCTGGCAAATGCCTCCGTGCAGGGCTTGGGTGGGGCGGGTCCCCGGGGATCTACAGGGCGGGCAAAGCAAGCAGTTATGGCTGCTCTCAGTCCCGTCCCCAGGGGCTCTGCCTCTCAGAGTCCCAGCAACTGCTGCAAACCTCGAAGAGAAAGCTGCCTTCGAGTTCCAACCGAAGCCAGACAGTCCCGCTTCTCCCGTTTGAGTCTGGGTCCCTAGAGACTCGCCCGTATCTGGAGCTCATAGTCTGAGACTCCCTCCTGTTTGAAAACAACAACCGCACCCTCAGCCACCAGCCCGCTCCACATGCACTCCGCACCTTAGTATTTTACTTCAGCACTGCGCCTCCTCTGATTCTCGGTTCCTCCTAGTTGTAGAACTTCCACTCAGCCAGCCTTCCTGTGATTCTGGATGATGTCCGTTCCATCTTTTAGTTGTATTTTTGAAGTTGTTGTTCGAGGCAGCAAACTCCGGCATTAACCTATGCCGCCATCTTGGTTTTTACCCCTACAATTCTGATGTCCGTACTCTTGAAGTTGTCCCAGAGGCTCCTTACACTATCTTCATATTTTTGGATTCTGTTTTCTTTTTGCTTTTTCGGTTGGGTATTTTTTGTTTCTTCATATTTCAAATCTTTGACTTGATTCTTGGGATCCTCTTGTCTGCTGTTGGATCTCTGTATATTATTCTTTATTTCAGTCAGTGTATGCTTAATTTCTAGTTGGTCTTTTTTCATATCCTCCAGGGTCTCACTAAATTTATCGGCGGTTTCCATAAAATTCTTGAAAAACCTTAAAAGTGTGGTTTTAAACTCTATATCCAGTCTTTTGCTTTCCTCCATTTCTGTCATTTGTGACCTGTTTCTTTGTCTCAGCATTTTTTATGCTTCCCTGTGTTGGTAGAGTGGCTTTGTGTGCTAGGTGTCCTATAGGGCCCAGTGGCTCAGCCTCCCCAATTACCTGAGGTGGACACTCTTGGTGCACCCCCTTGTGGGCTTTTTGCACAGTCTTGTTGTATTTAAGCCTTGATTGTTGTTGGTATCAATGGGAGAAATTGACCTCTAGGCCCATTGGCTGTGAGAATCAGCTGTGTCTGCATTGGGAGAACTTCTGTGCTGGAGACACCCTTCTTGGGCAAGACTTGCTTCAGTAGGGCTTTGGTGCTCACTGAGTCTGCCCCCTGAGTGTGTTCCTTATGGATCTGAGGAGTTGTAATCTGGATGGTCCCACTCTGACCACGGGGTACACTGGCTCTTGGTTCTAAGGAGGTGCTAATTTAGCCTCTGCCTAAGGCTACCCAGCAGGAGTTACAAAGAGATCTGCAGATTCCCCTTCCTTTTTTGGGGGGTTTGGAGGTGCCCAGATGAGGCCCAGCTGTGAAGCAATGCAAGCTGCTGTGGGGCCTTGGGTCTTCTCTTGGAAGTTCTGGGTCTGTCTGGCCCAGCTGCAGTTTGTTAGGTACTTTTCAGATTGCAAAGGGCCAGGGCATTCATATGCAAAAGCTTCTGCTGCAGCCTGGGTGGGGCGGGGTCTCAGGGAATCAAAGTGGGGAGCAAGCAGCTATGGCTGATCCTCAGCCTTGCCCTAAGGGGCGGTGCGTCTCAGTGTCCCGGTAATTGCTGCAAGCACCTCTGAGGGAAAGCTGCCCTCGAGTTCCGAGTTCTGCCTGCTGCCAGACAGTCCAGTTTCTCCCCGTATGAGTCCTAGATCCCCAGAGTCCTCCCAGAACTGGAGTTCAAAGCAGTCGGAAGCTTGTGACTCCCTCCTGATTCAAAAAGACAGCAGCGTCCTAAGGTGCCCACCCCTTTCTGCGTGTGCTCGAGCCTCCGTACCTCTGCACTTTACTTTCGCAGCTCCTCTGAGTCTCAGTGTGCTTTTCTCTTTCTTTCTAGTTGTAGAATTTCCACTCAGCCAGCCTTCCTGTGGTTCTGGATGGTGTCCATTTTGTCTTTTCGTTGTATTTTTGAAGTTGTTGTGGGAGGCAGCAATTTCCGGTGTTTACCTATGCCGCCATCTTGGTTTTCCAAAATTTTATTTTTAAATATACATCTATTATGTATGCTTAGACAACAGTGGTTATCTCTGTAGAGTGAAGTGGCAAATAATTTTTATTTTCTTCTCTTTTTTTGCTTTTCTGCATTTTCCATCTTTTACATTGAACACTTATTATCACTGTAATTAGAAACAAAACATCTTAACTGTTATTTTTTAAATACTTAGCAAATGATTGAATAAGATAAGGAAAAAGAATGTGTGCTGACCAATCCTAAGTTGTCTTTATAACCTTATGGGAAATAGTAACTGGGAGCCAACCAGCTCTTGAAAAGAGGCAAGGGTATGCGGGACTCAGGTTTCAGAGGGGAAGAAAAAATACGAAGTCGCCAAGTCTCTCTGATGGCCTCCGGCTCTAAGAATCAGAAAGTTAATAATCATTAGTAATTTTAAAAGAAGAAAAAAACTTGCACATTTGCTTTGGAAAAGTCACTATTACAAAGGGGAAATCAACAGATAAGAGTCTGCAAAAGCAGGTCCCTTTGTCATCTGGTAACAGGTGGCATTTGAATTGGCTTGACTTTGGTTTCTTTAAAAACTGGCATTATACTCAGTTACCCAACAACAAAACAGTCCCTGGGTGACTTCCCTAATCCTACTGGTGCACAGACTAAAGTGGCTCCATACAGTTACCTCAGAAACGGTAACAGTCTCACATGATCAACTTCGCTATCATCCAGGGATTACTTAGTTATGCCAAAATCTCAGCGAAGCTAAAAAGTTGCCCGAAATGTGCAGGTGTGTGGTGTGGATGGATTTACTTGTATTTACCAAGGGAAAAGGGTATGAAGTAATCTGTTTTCCTGAGGCTGCCGTTTTTATCCAAAAAGTGGCCTGGGTCAAACGTCTCTGGATTGGGGAACTCCTTGCAGTCCATCAAGACCGAAGACAGTAATGGCAATACTGTGGTGCCCTGGAACCAAGAAAAGAGAGAGGAGTTGTACTTTATTGTGCCTATCCTTGATTCATTAACAAGGCTAACACTCCTAATTAGTGGATTGAATAGGACTGAGCACTCTTAAGCTTGCCTGGTGAATGATTGTCTTGAGTTATGGCTATTTTATACATGCTATTATCATACAATACTTATTGAGTAGTAAGATAATTCTCTTTGCGAAGAGTGATGTTATGATCAATGTGAGGTAACCAGTTATTGTTGATAAGTGGGGGTTTGCCACCCACATTGTCTAGACATGACATTTACTGGAATTGCTGCCTCAAATCGGAAGAATCTACTTTCTACAATTTGTTCCTTTCTGAATTCAGGTGTGAATGGAAGAAAGTGAGATACGCAAATGTGAATCTACTGAATCAGACTCCACTTCCCTCATTTGAAAAATGGGGTGAGGTAACAAAAACACAGGCTTTCCTCCTAATTTACAGATTTCTGTGAGGCTTAAGTGACAAAACAATATTAAAAGCACCACTGTGCTGAGTTAGCTGCTTATAAAGTGTATTTAATTCTCACTGCAACTGTATCCAGCAGGCTCGCTTCTTGTTCTCGTTGTATAAGTGAGGACACTGAGACTCAGAGAGGAAAAATAACCTACTTAAGGTTACACTTTTAGCAAGTGGCATACTTAGAATTTGTCCAAGTTCTATCTGATCATAAAGCACCTGTTTAAGTGAAAGCTGCCTTTTTTCCATTTTCACTTTATTTTCTATGCCCTTAAACATAATTTTAGAATTATTGGAGGGGCAATACATGCACATGGAATAAAATACCCCAAAATATGTACAAAAGGGTATAAAGTAAAAATAAGTCTCTCTTCTTATACTCAAGTCCCCTGGTTTTCTTCTTGGTATAATTACTGTTAGCATTTTATGATCTATCCTTTGGAAGATATCTTATGGATTTAAAGAAAGGACACTTATATACATACTAGTAGCCCGGTGCACGAAATTCGTGCACTGGGGTGGGTGGGGGGAAGGGGCCCCTCAGTCTGGCCTTCACCCTCTCCAATCTGAGACCCCTCAGGGAATGTCCAACTACCTGTTTGTGCCCACACTTTTAACAGATAACAGCGCCATTGTTGTTTCTTTCTTATGCTTAAAACCATTGGAATTAGTAGGTATTCAAAGTGTGTATACATTTTGGGGGGACATCCTGTATATCTTTAGTCAGCGGTGAAATAAACCAACAGCAGATTTGGAACCCCCAGACAGGGAACCTTGCTCACTCCCCACATGTCTCCCCACTTCACTTTCCACCTTCGTGGGCAGCAGGAGAATCAACGTTTTCTCACATTAATTCGGAAAACCACGTCCTGTTACCCGCTGCCTGGCAGGAGTGAGCTAGGCCCCAAGCAAGCGAGGCTCAGTCAGGGCAGCCTTCCCTCACGGGTGCTGGCACCCAAAGTGCACATTCCTCCTCTACAGTCGCCCCGACTATCCCACTGTTTCACTGAGAGGATGGAATTCCTCTCCGCCTCTGAGTTCTTGATCTTGAACGCTGACCGAGTCCTGGGACAGCAGACAGCCTCCCGCGGTGCCCCCCGCCTGGCAGGGTCACGGATCCGGGTCCCGAGACCACGGACAGCCTCCTGCGGTGTCCCCCACATGCCAGGTCACGGATCCGGGTCCCAGACCACGGACAGCCTCAAGCGCTGCCCCTGCCCCCCGCCCGGCAGGGTCACAGATCCGGGTCCCAGACCACGGACAGCCTCAAGCACTGCCCCCCGCCTGGCAGGAACACAGATCCGGGTCCCAGGACCGAGGACAGCCTTGCCCACTGCTGCCCACCTTCAGTATGCAAATTAGTTTCCATCTTGTTGCTTCAGGGTGGGGGTCCCCACTGGGGTGCCTGGCCAGCCTGGATGAGGGGATGATGGCTATTTGCAGCTGGTCACACCCCCTTCAGGGAGGGGTTCCCCACTGGGGTGCCTGGCCAGTCTGGGTGAGGGGCTGAGGGCCGTTTTCAGGCTGGTGGGCGACTGAAGCTCCCAACCTCTCCTTTTTTCCTTTTTTCTTTTATTCTGGGATTTATTTACCTTCTATGGCTGTCACTGGAGCTGAGAGCCAGCTTTAGCTCTGAGGCTCGGCTGCAGCTCTGAGACCTCGGCTGCAGCTCTGAGACCTTGGCTGCTGAAAGCAGGTCCTGGGTTTGTTTGGGTTCTATAATTGAAACACTGTTGTGGTCCTGCTGGCTGAAGCCCTGCTGGCTGAAAGCAGGTTTCTGGAATTTGTTTAGCTTCTATACTTGCAACATTGCTTCTTAGAGTGCAAGCTCAGAGGCCGGCAGCGGCAGGCGGGAACCTTGGCTTCCTCCATCACTGGAGCAAGCAAGCCTCCTGTTCGCTTCAGTGCCTGGCTGCCGGCCGACATCTTGGTTGGCAGTTAATTTGCATAAGGATATACTGATTAGCCAATGGGAAGGGTGTTGGGGTTATGGTCAATTTGCATGTTTCTCTTTTATTAGATAGGATATCCTCCACTATTTTCACACAAAAGTAGTATCCTATAGTGTGCTGCAGCTTGCTTAGTATTCCACTTTATAGAAATAAAGGAAGCTTTAAAGTCCTTTGTAAATGAACATTTGGGGGTTTCCCAATCTTCAAGTATCACAAATATTGCTGCAATAAATATTCTTATTTTATAGAAAGTACACAAAGGATAAATTCCTAGTAGTGGAACTACTCTTCAAGTTGTATGTGTGTTTTGAATTTTAATAGATATTACCACATTGTCTTCCATAGAGGTTACACCAGTTTATACCACTAGCAAAACTATATGCTTTTTTACACCCTGACAACATATTATAAGTAAAAAAAAAATTTTCTTTAGAATTATTATTTTCATTATATTTCATTGTGTGAGTATATTTTTACACATTTAAAAACCATTTGTAATTATTTCTACTCAAATTTTAATTTTAATTTTGTTTTTCATGTTCTGCATCTGTTGGTTTTTGGGTTTGTTCAAACTGACTGTAGGAGTTCATTTTATTTTTCAGTAATTAGTCCTTTCCTCTTATGAACCATGCATTTTCCTCTCAGTTTGTCATTTATCTTTTGACTTTATTTTTCCAGGCAGATTTTTCTTATTTGCATATAGCCAAATTTATCGATTTTTAAATACAGGGCCTTCTTACTATTCTCTTTTTTGGTGTTGGGAGTCAATGTTAGAAGTCTTTTAGAACTCTGAAATTCTAAAAAAAAAAAGTTATCACTTTTATTCCTAGTACTTCTACAGTTTAACATTCTATGTGTGTGTATTTGAGCCACCAAGAATAAAGTTTCATGTAAGATATGAGGCAGGGATCTGTTGTTATTTTCCAACTCCCCCAAGAGTTTTCTAACCTCTGTTGAATATTCCATATTGTCCCTCTAAGGCAGTGGTTCCCAACCTTCCTAATGCCGCGACCCTTTCATACAGTTCCTCATGTTGTGGTGACCCCCAATTTCATTGTTACAAATTGAACATAATTAAACCATAGTAATTAATCACAAAAACAATATGTAATTATATATGTGTTTTCCAAGGGTCTTACGCGACCCCTGTGAAAGGGTCGTTCGACCCCCAAAGGGGTCGAGACCCACAGGTTGAGAACCGCTGCTCTAAGGGGAAGACACCTTCATCAAGTACGAAGTTTTCATGTATAATTAAGTGTATTTCTAGATTTTATTCCTTTGATCTGTCTTTTCAAGAAGGTATATTACACTGCTTTAATAACTGGGACTTTGTATTACATTCTAACATTTGGTAGGACCTATCCCTGATTATGTATTTTTTTATTTTCCATATCAAATTTAGGATCTGCTAGCTTAGTTCCAAGAAAATCTGGTTGATATTTTCATTGAGATCTCATAAATGTATAGATTTTTTGATTTGGGGATAACTGCTACTTTTCTACCCAAATGCAGAATAAATCTTGTGATTTATTCAAACAATTTATATCTCTCATTAACATTTCACTTTTCTTTTTATAGATCTTGAATTTTTTTGTTCAGTTTATTCCTAAATATTTTATCCTTGTTTTTATTAATGAAAACTTATCTTCATTATATTTTTAAAATCATTTTTATTTTATATAGGTGGCAATTGATTTTTTTAAATAATAAATTTGTACCTAACCACTGAATAATTCTGTTTTTGCAATTGTGCTTTGGCTAATTTTCTTTTTATCCAGGTATAATTATATCATTTACAAAGTTGCTTCTTTGTTTGGAAAGTTTTATCTCACTATTTTTTTCTAATTTTACTTGCATAATATTAGTACTGGTAGATAGCCTTGCTTTATTCCTACTTAGGAATGCTTTTAATCTTTCATCAATAAGCATGATTGGGAAATACGTGTTTTTTTTTTCTGGCTAAAGAGATGTTTGTCTATTCCTACTTTATTAAAGGTTAAAAAATAAAAATGAAGTACAAATAGGCAGTTATAAATAGTCAGAGGGATGTAAAGTAGAGGATAGGGAATATAGTCAATAAAATTGTAATAACTATGTATGGTATCAGGTAGGTCCTGAAACTAATGACTGAAACTAATATAATATTAAATGTCAATTATAATTTGAAAATAATTTTTTAATTAAAATGGCCATTGAATATTATCAAAAGTATTTTCTGTACAAATGAGATTATCATTTCTCCTAAATTTTATTTATATGGTGAATTTTATTAAACTAGATTTCCTGGTGTTAGACCATTCCTGTGTTCTTCAGGATCTCAATTTGTTGGTGATGTGGGGTTTGTAATGTGATGCTAGACTTAATGTACTAATACACGTTTGCATTGATAGTTTTAAGTAAGATCGGTGGCTGTTTTGTAGTATTTTTATTCTGTTTTGCAATATTTTGATCAGGTTGGCACCTTTTCTTCCTCTTCTATGCTCTGGAACTATTTAAATGTAAAACTGAAGCCCCTAATCACTACAGGAGACTGACTATATCCCTAGTGAGCATGTAAGTTTTGGTAAATGCTAAGTGTCCTACAAATGTTAACTGTCAGGAGCAGCAACATCTCAAATGGCCTATACATAAAGTTCTGGGAGGAGAACATTTGGGCTAAAGAAGATCAATACTGGCTTAATTACCTTAGAGCAGTGGTTCTCAACCTTCTGGCCCTATAAATACAGTTCCTCATGTTGTGACCCAATCATAAAATTATTTTCGTTGCTACTTCATAACTGTAACGTTGCTACTGTTATGAATTGTAATGTAAATATCTGATATGCAGGATGGTCTTAGGCGACCCCTGTGAAAGGGTCGTTATACCGCCAAAGGGGTCACGACCCACAGGTTGAGAACCACTGCTTTAGAGCTACAGACACATTTTCCACTTCCCCCCTTTTTAAAATCTAACCTGAAAAATCAGATTTCAGTTCCTGTAAGATTCTCGTTAATGGAAATCACTGCTCCCAAAATACATCCTATATGAGAGCAGGAGGGGCTTGGAAGCCCCGGGTCAGCCTCCCCCATTCTAGGAAGGCAGAGACCGGGCTGCAGAGTGACCTGAGGGTGCACTGCGTGCAGTGACAGATTTCAAACCACGCCCATCTGACTCTGACTGCTCTCTTCCTGCAATAGAACTGAGAGCCTCTCACGGCCCCACTGAGGGACCGTACCACCCCTCCTATCCCAGTCCGTTTTCCCAGACACATCTAACCTTGGGGATGACATATTGTCTGAATTTCGTGTCCTTGGTCACGGCACGTGGAACATTAGATGGAACGAGGGTGATGTATCTTTGTATCTCATTCAGCACAGCCTCTGTGTAAGGCATCTTCATCTTGTCCTTCAAGGAGGGCCTCTGGTTGTGTCCAATCACACTGTCAATTTCTTCATGAACTTTGGCTGCAGAGACATGAATCATGAATGCCACTCAAGAGATGTGTTCCCTGGGTACCTGGAAATTACCTGAAATGCTTGCCATGTGCAGCAGAACATGGCCTAGAAAAGGTTCCCAATGTCAAAGACTTGTTGTTAAACAGTCCATTGCTCTGCTCCTGATGGAATTTCTCTTTTTAAAAAAAATATATTTTATTGATTTTTTTACAGAGAGGAGGGGAGAGGGAAAGAGAGTTAGAAACATTGATGAGACAGAAACATCGATCAGCTGCCTCCTGCACAGTCTGTGCTCCCAACCAAGGTACATGCCCTTGACCGGAATTGAACCTGGGACCCTTCAGTCCGCAGTCCCACGCTCTATCCACTGAGCCAAACCAGTTAGGGCTGGAATTTCTCTTTTCTATTTTGCTGTAAATGCCAGAGACTTGCTGAAGGAAACATAAAGGCTGGATTAACTATCTTCTCAGCTTCCTGGCTTCATTGGTTTGTTCTCATGTCATGGGTGAGGCAAGGACCTTTGTAGCAGGGATTATGCTGAGCCCATGATTCCTGGCAAAGCAGCTGTAGGGGGACATGTTTGATCCTCATTCTAGCGGGAGCTGCTTCTTTGTCACCTTCATCCAGTCTCCTTCTAGTTTTGTGGGGATGGTAAATACCATTTTGTTGAGCAGCATAAACACTGACCTTTATAAGGCCTGTGCTCTGAGAATG